CCAGCCTTCACCTGCCCAAGTCCAGCCGTTTAAGCTCCCCTCACCCAGACTACTCTGAAGACCAACCCAAGAGTTTCAGTAAGCCCCTGGATATTTCTCACCACTCATCACTCAGTTATAAGGCTTAATGTGTAATGGAAAAAGTAAGAGCTCAGGGCCATTTTGGGTCATGTTGAAGATGTGGAGACCAGTGCTTGAAGGGAGGAGAAACAAGGGTTGGTCTTTTCCTCATCTTCTGTTCTCATTGTAAGTTACTAGGATTTAGCTAGTTAGGTTGAAAGAATCAGGATTAGCTAAAAAGAGGGTAGAAAGGTCTGGAGGGGAAAAAAAAAAAAAAAAAAAAGAAGGTAATTTCTGTTCTGCAGGGGCCATCCAGCCTTTTATTTGCAGGAACCAGCTCCTGATGTCCACAAAACTGTACCAAGATTTTTCTGCTGTTTAATCCACAGGACTGTCTGTCTCTGCCCGGAGAGCAGCACTTCCAGGGGATATGTTTAAGTAGGTCATTTTCGGCAGAGACTTTGTGTCACATGCAATGACAGCCATTGGCTACGAAGTGTTTGTTCACCTCTTTCGTCAGAAGCCCATTTTCAGGAGCTGACCTGGGTGGGTGGAAGCTTGGAGAAAGGCCCAGGCAAGGATCACATCTGCTCTGGACAGGAAGAAAATGGTTTGGCTAAATGAGCTCCACATTGCAGCAGGATAACTGGGATCCTGGCAGCAGGGACAGGAGTGTTGATTCACAAGAAGTGCAGCAGTTACCGAACGGACCAACAACTCCATCCACAGACCCACACTGTGGGGGACAAACCCTCTTCAGCCCCAGGACCTCTCTCAGGGGATAAGACAGGTCTTCTGAAAAGCAACTCTTTAAGGTTTTAGTCTATGGGAGAGGACTCAGAGGCTGCTAAGATGCTGCCCGAGGCTCCTTCCGAGTGCCACTGCACATCATTTATCCTGTTTCCACTTGTGAAACCATCGCACCAGAGTACACTGAGTCTGATAGTCTGCTCATCTACTTATGAAAGGAACAACTGGTGCTGCAGGTAGAGACAGGAGGGATGGGAGGAAGGGCTGGTGCCCAGGGCGATGCTCAGCCCAGCACTGGGTGCCCAGCCAATTCCAGGGATGCAAAGAGCCCTCGTTAATCAGGGGTGGGAACGTGCTCATTCCGGGCACGTTTGCTGCCTCCACGGGTGAAATACCCCAGGGGTGGAATATCCCAAGCACGGATTTGCTTAGAGTAAGATCCTGAGGCTGCTCGGATCTGCAGCAGCGACACTCTCACCTCCAGTGCTCGGCTGCCTCACGCTCTCGGGACCGCACCGGCTCCAACACTCCCCGCTCCGCACCGCCACCGTCCCTGCCTCCCGCACCGCCACCGGAGCTGCTCGAGGCTCTTTCTGAGTGCTACTGCACATCATTTATCCCGTTTGCACTTGCGAAAGCATCACACCTGCATCCCGCACCGGCTCCAACACACCCTGCTCCGCACCGCCACCGCATCACCCCGCACCGCCACCGAGCCCCCGCACCGCGCACCGGTTCCAGCACACCCCGCTCGGCACCGCCACCGACCATGCATCCCGCACCGCTCACCGGATGCGGGCCAGCCCCACGCCGATGCCCTGCCCACGCAGCGGCCCCGACACACACAGCCCGCTCCGCACCCCCCCGCATCCCACCCCGCCTCCCCGCGCCCCCGGCCCTGCTAACCTTGATGACCTGCTGCCTGATGATGAGGGGCCCCACGAGCAGCAGGCAGCCCCCCGCGAGGGCGCAGGACACCCCGGCCAGCCCCAGCCCCAGCGACAGCCTGCGCCGGGCCACAGCCATGGTGCGGGGGAGGCGGGAGCGGAGCCAGGAGCGGGTCCCGCTCGCCACGGCCCCTTTATGGCCCCGCGGCCCGGCCCGGCCCGGCCCGGCGGACGGGGCGGGGCCATCCGGGAGGGGGCGTGGCATAGCGGGGAAGGGGCGGTGTCAGCCGCGCCAGGCCACGCCCCCTCGCTCCAGCGGCGGGACTGGGACAGAACCCGGGGATAGTGGGATGGTGGAACACGCGGAAAAACAGGAAAATGGGTAAAATAAAGGGGATGTACAGTATACACATGGATAAAATAGCGTTCAATCATAGGATCGTACAATGGTTTGGGTTGGAAGGGGCCTTGAAGATCATCTCCTTCCCAACCCCAAGCTCTCCCTGAAAACATCCATCACCTCTTAACCCACTCTATTTTCCCAAGGAATTGGGGTTTTTCCTCTATCTTTTACATATAAAGTGTTTCTGAATAAAAGGCTCGTTGAAACTCATCCCTAGAAGTGTCTAGAAGCCAGCAGAGACTAAAAAACTAAGAGTCCAGTTTGTGACAGCCTGTTTTAAAACAAGCCCATTGTCCCAGCTGTTCCTGGGCTGAAGGGACTGGAAACTGGAGTGCACCCACCTGCCACACACTGTCCTTCATACATCCCACAGCTCCCACCAGGCAGAGGCCAGCACAGCACAGCACCCGACTTTGCCATGGCCTTTGCCTCATTGCCTGCATTTATATCTTTACCTTAATTGTGTCTTTTTTGTTTTTACCTTCTGGACCTTTCACCCTGGTAGTTAGTTGCCTCTGATTAATTGCCAGATCAATTAACCGATGCCTCTGATCCTGGTTGGTATCTGCAGGTAGGGCAGCAACAGGCTGTGCCCCTTCTCCCCAGCGGCAACGCCTTCAGACCAGCTGTGTTTTCTTTTACTTTAAAACATTTTGCTACAAAGAAATTCCGCGAAAGGAATTTTTCTCCAAATCCCAATAAACCCCAGTAAAATCCAGGAGATGCCCAGAGGCGCTGCGGAACAATGTGAACGTGAGAAGGTCTCTCGGAACAGCATGTTCCCAGAGACTCTTTTTGGGAGCACCACGGTTAGAACAAAAGACATCCTGAATGCTTATTAAGTGCTTTGCTGTTCTCATCAAATTTAGCTGTTCTGTGGTTAATCCCACCCCAGCTGTGCTTTCTGAGCAGGGGTGCTGCCTCTGAAGTGTTGGTACTGCCACTGCGAACCTTGAAGTTCCTCAAACCAAGCAAGGCGACCTGCAGAGGTCACAGAATCGTGGAATGTCCTGAGCTGGAAGGGACCCACAAGGATCATTGAGTCCAGCTCCTGGGCCCGCACAGGACAGCCCCAAAATCCCACCATGTGCCTCAGAGCATTGTCCAAATGCTTCTTGAATTGTGGCAGCCTTGGGACCCTCACCACTGCCCTGGGGAGCCTGTTAAGTGCCCAACCACCCCCTGGGGGAAGAAATTTTCCCTAATATCCAACCTAACCCCCCCTGACACAGCTCCATGGCATCCCCTTTGCAAGAGGCAGCGGCTGACTCAGCTCAGAATAGTGCACGGGTTTCCTCTCCAAGCTTCCTGCTCTGCCTGGCTGCAGCACACTCCAGCCTGTCAGGGGTTTGTACAGCATTGGCGGTTTTAAACGTGGCATTGTAGAGGTTTTCTCACTGAGACTTTTAAAATAAAAGTTTCTTAAAACATAGCTCTGCAGTCATTTGTGCAGGCTTTTGATGTGTCCTCCTGCAGCTGTCCCCCACAGCAGCCAGGCTGCCTTCACATCAGAACCGCTTGCAGTTATTTTTTCCAGCCTTTGTTTTTTTCAATCACCAGACTTCCATGGCTAATCCTACCAAGCATGTAGAGAAAGGCGTTATGAACACACACCAAGCTGCACTTCTTCCCTGTTCTGTAAGAGCAGCTCCCTGCATTCCAGCAACACCCACCCTTTAGCTGACCAGACCCCTGTGTTTCAGGAGCCAGAGCCCCGCTGAAGGGCCGCTCAGTTTGTAACTGCTGCGTGAATTTGGGATGCCTCAAGAGGCCAGAAATCCCACAGGATGGTAAACTGTTGGTTGCAGTTGTTGTGTGTTCAGTTACTGGAACCAGGACAGGCGTGGGCAGAGCCCAGTGCCACCCTCACAGGAACAGGACAGGCACTCAGCGATGGCACAGCACCAGCCCTCACCCACATGGGATTAGCTCAGCAGTGCTCAGACGCTTCCGCCAGATCAGCACAGATCTCGCTGATCCAAACCCACTCCTTACAGGCCACGCAGCCCTAAAAGCATCTTCCACTTCTTCCTTAAGTAACAATGGGTGTTACTTGAGTTCAATCCCACTGTTAAGATCCCTTTGGGTCGCCCTGAAGTCAGTGACCAGCTCAGATCACTACTCAACTCCCACCACCATCCCCTTCCAAAGGCAATCACTCTTTTGAAGGGCACTTTTCTCCCTCAGCCTCTCCCTTTCCCACATCCCATGGCCAGCATAGCTGCAGTTAACTACTTGGCAGCTCCTAATTGCAACCTCCACCACAAACTCTTCAGTGGAAACTTCCCTTCGGCCAGGGCTTTACAGCACATGGGAACTGCTGTGGTAGTTTAGCACAATACTGCAGTATTTCCAGTTGGGGCACTGCTGGAATTAAGTTCATTCCAGATTTCCAATTAAGTATATATGAAATTAGTTTAATTGGTTTGCTTAACGTACTTACGCTGCCACACCACTTCCCAAGCCCAAGGGCTGCAGGACCAGCACTGACATCCCACTGTCCCACCCTTTGTCGGAGCTGCAGGAGCACCCTTCTGCTTGCTCCATTAATCCCGAAACAAAAGCAGAACCTGGCAGTTGCTAAGAAACAAAAGAGCTGGTATCAAATCCTCCCAGCTCAGCAACAACTGCAGTTTCCTATTACATGTCCAGGCTTACACAACATCCACAGCTGCGCAACATCCGCAGGTGGGCACCGAGCTGCAGCCGGGCAGGGAACACTTATACAACCCAGGAAAATCATGGCTGAGGGATTAGCTACGCCTGCCAGACACGTGGGAGCCCTGCTTAAGGCGGTTTTACAGTTCCTCTGTCTGCAGAAACTACATAATTATTGTTTATTAGAGAGCCGGAGTTGGGAAATGGCACAAACAGTTGTTCACGTAACTTGAGACACAAACTTTTGTGGATGCAACAGCTTTATTGGAATGAACAAGTGCAGAGAAACTTTTTATTTGGATGCAACAACCTGCTGGTTCAGTTACCACCCCTGAGGCGCAGGACAAGGTGCAGGGTGGATTCCTTCTGGATGTTGTAGTCGGACAGGGTACGACCATCCTCCAGCTGCTTGCCAGCAAAGATCAGCCTCTGCTGGTCAGGGGAATGCCCTCCTTGTCCTGGATCTTGGCCTTGACGTTCTCAATGGTGTCACTGGGCTCAACTTCCAGGGTGATGGTCTTGCCGGTCAGGGTCTTGACGAAGATCTGCATCCCACCTCTCAGGCGCAGCACGAGATGCAGGGTGGATTCCTTCTGGATGTTGTAGTCGGACAATGTGCGACCATCTTCCAGCTGCTTCCCGGCAAAGATCAGCCTCTGCTGGTCAGGGGGAATGCCTTCCTTGTCCTGGATCTTTGCCTTGACATTTTCAATGGTGTCGCTGGGCTCCACCTCAAGGGTGATGGTCTTGCCGGTCAGGGTCTTGACGAAGATCTGCATCCCTCCCCTGAGGCGCAGGACAAGGTGCAGGGTGGATTCTTTCTGGATGTTGTAGTCGGACAGGGTACGACCATCCTCCAGCTGCTTGCCAGCAAAGATCAGCCTCTGCTGGTCAGGAGGAATGCCTTCCTTGTCTTGGATCTTGGCCTTGACGTTCTCAATGGTGTCACTGGGCTCAACTTCCAGGGTGATGGTCTTGCCAGTCAGGGTCTTGACGAAGATCTGCATCCCACCTCTCGAGGCGCAGCACTAAGGTGCAGGTGGACTCTTTCTGGATGTTGTAGTCGGACAGGGTACGACCATCCTCCAGCTGCTTGCCAGCAAAGATCAGCCTCTGCTGGTCAGGAGGAATGCCTTCCTTGTCTTGGATCTTGGCCTTGACATTCTCAATGGTGTCACTGGGCTCAACTTCCAGGGTGATGGTCTTGCCGGTCAGGGTCTTGACGAAGATCTGCATCCCACCTCTCAGGCGCAGCACTAAGTGCAGAGTGGACTCCTTCTGGATGTTGTAGTCAGACAGAGTGCGACCATCCTCCAGCTGCTTCCCAGCAAAGATCAGCCTCTGCTGGTCAGGGGGAATGCCTTCCTTGTCCTGGATCTTTGCCTTGACATTTTCAATGGTGTCGCTGGGCTCCACCTCAAGGGTGATGGTCTTGCCGGTCAGGGTCTTGACGAAGATCTGCATTTTAACCTGGAAGAGGCAAACCCGCTGTGCTTTAGTGACGCTCCCGCTCCCCGGGGCCGCGCTCCCCGGCCGTGACGTCACAGCGACGGCCCCACCCCTTCCGGGATGTCAGGGTGGTCTCCGCCCCTTCCCTTTCCCGCCCGCGGCGCGCGCCCGCCACCATCTTGAGGGGGGCTGCGCCTGCGCCGCCGCCATTTCGCCGGCGGCCGCTCGCCCTCGCCCCTCCCGCCCTTCCCCTCCCCGCCCCCGGCTCGCAGTGCTGCCGTTAAGGGGAGGGCAACGCCCCGGCCCTCACCCCGCCATTGCCCCCAGCCATCGCCTATTCTCTCTCAGCGCACACACACACACTCTTGTGTGTCCCACCCGGACACCACGCACGCATCTAAGCCCTGTCGCCGCCAAGCCAAGCGGCTCCCTCGTCCAAGCACTCACCGCAGGCCTGGCAGGCTAAGTCGACAGAACAAGCCCCTCACGGCCTCACCTGGCTCCAACTGCGCCACACATCCCCCTCCCGCCCCTTATATGGTCTCGCGCGCCCCGCCCCCGGCCTGCGGATCACTCCGCCGCGCACTATTTTCTCGGTCCCGCGCGCCGCTGCTCTCCTGCGTGAGCTGAGGCGGGGCGCGGCAGCGCGGAGGGATCTGCGGCCCGCGCGCGGGTGCACTGCAGCCAGCGCGCGCAGGGGCGTGAGGGGCGCCGGCAAAACCCGGAGTGGAGCCCTAGCTGGAGCGGGGCCGCGGCTGTGGTGCGTCAGCGAGCCCAGCCCGCAGACATGCTCGTGTTTAAAGATTTATCTCACAGGCTTACGTTTTATTCAGGGCTTCAGGCCCTGCAGTTGTGTCACTGTTTGAAAAACACCTCTTTGACTTCCAGCCCTGGGGCAGGGTGAGGGGAGGCTCTGCCTGTGGCTGCACCCTGAGCGGGTTCCTGAAGGAGAGGGGCCCTTGCTTTATGCCAAGGGAAAGCCTCAAGCATTTATTTCTGTGTGAGAAGCCTCCTATGTGTTCCAGCGTGTTGAGGCTCAGCAGTGGCAGAGCAGTGAGGTGTCTGTGCCCCACCTGGGGATACAACCCTGCTCGGATGGACACGTCGTGCCAGACCCTCAGTGCCACCATGGCCATGGGACAGGGGCTGGGAGGAGACGGTGCTGGGACACCCACCGAGGCTGGACCACCCTAGGAAAGGGGGGCTACGGGAGTCTCCTGCTGGGGTGGAGAGGTGACACGAGGGACAAAAAAGGCCTGGTGGATGAAGAGTTCCAAGTCCTGCCAATGGTCTGCCTGAGATACGAGTGTTTATATACACACACAGAAAGTGGGCTGTGCATCTGAGCTATCATGGAGTGTATAATTCAGCACTAAGGCCTTGCCACTGGGGTAAAATCAGCCATAAACAGAAATCATAATAATGCCTATTTCTTACTCTGTTCTCGCAGAGCTCATTCTGGTAGATCTCTGCTGCACTCCGTCAGCTCCTGTGCCATGCCAGTCCAAGTGCACAGCAATTCCAGGGCATGGCTGAGAACAGAATGGGGCTTTGTCTGTAAGATTCAGGCGATGCCATTCGGTCCAATCCGCCTACAAAATCCTTCGTTTGCCAGCACCCAAGGAAAATGGAAGGGACACAGGGCTGCTCGTGAGCAGGAACAGAGCAGAGGCCCAGCAACAGCTTTGTGATTGGTTTGAGGGAAACCGCCTGTGTTTGGCTGACACATGGAGCTGTTACAGGAGGGGAACGCTCTGGGGAGCTCCTCGGCCTCTGCTGCCTCGTGTTTGTATCAACACTCACCACAGCAGTAGTGATAATAATCTCAAACACTCGGGTCATTTAGATGGGGGGAAAAAAAAAAATCCACAGAAGTCTTTTAGTTTCTCCTCAGTGCTCAGTGGCTGACGCTGTGTGCATTGGGAGTTGTATAAACATCAAAGATTGGAAAAGCCTTCCAGGTTTAGATCTTTCCTCAGCTGAATATTAATGTTAAGCTTGTTCTTTTAGTTACAGAGGGAGCACTCAGGACTGGTCTGAAAATAGTAAAAAATGTACATGGAAAGGTATTTCCTGACAAGATGGAGTTTTGTAACAGGAAGAAATAAGATGACACAGTGCTATTCTTCACCTAATTAGGGTAATCAGCCAAGCACTGAGCATCCTGAGTGAGTTTATACCTGATGTCTGAATCAAACACTGGAGGAGCACACAGTTAAAGGTTGAGATTGGCAAGGCAGATGTTCAGCCCTGATCCAATAGTCCTAAAACACATCTGTGTGGTTTGCAGGAGGACAGCGTTTCCTGAGCTGGGAGAGGATTTCTGTGAACAAAGCCCCTTCCGTGTTTATGCTACCCTGCCTCTCTGAGTACCCATCATTAGGATTTCAGTGCAGGCTTAGATGAATAGTGGGACGTTGGTCCTAACAGACCATGACCTGCTTTACTGACAAATACCAATTTCCTGTGCCAAAAAGTTACTTTGTGACTCTTGGAACAAACTATCTCTTATATTTACATGCAGGGCATATTCCAGAAGTACAGCTGCCCAGGGAGATCCAGGGAGTGATTTACAACAGGGATATTCACACTTTGCAGTGCTGTAGCCAAATACTGGCTCAAAATAACAACTGGAAGTAAGATGAGTAAATAAATAGCACAGGGAGCTTTTCAGCCGCTGTGGCAGGAAATGTCACTTTGCATTTGTCACCGATCAGCTCCCACTGCTTTTGGATTCACTGCTGGTAACTGAACACTGAGATGAAACAGCTGCCACTGAACTGTGTAGATAAAACCTGTTTCAGGCTCTACGTGGGCTTTGGTCTCTCTGGGCCCAAACTCTCAACTTTGCCATAACTCAGCCCTCCAGGCTCCAAAGGGTTTCCTGATGAGTCCAGCCAGCCTGAGGAGATCAAAGCAGGGAGATTGTTTTCCCAAGAGCTCTTCCCAAGCTGCCCTGGGTGAAGCTGCCCACACTGCTGAGGGGCTGAGCAGGACAGTGGAGGTGAGAGGGCACTGAAGAGCCAGCTTGGAGAAGGGGAGATGCTCCTGCATTGTCGCAGCCAGTGACTTCAGTCACTTGGGGTGTCCTGGCTATTTGTCGCTCCCCTTTGGCTTTGGGAATGTGGAGCAGAGACCCTGAGCCCTGTGTGGCTGCAGGTCTGAACGTCCCCAGCCCTGCCGGGCTGTGGGATGAGGAGGTGTCAGGTGGGGCTGGCCAGTGTCCCCTGTGTTTTGGGGTTTGATGCTTTGTCCCTCCTTTTGGGCTGCTCTTTATCTGCATGGCCTTGGCGCCGGGATGGAACTCCAGTGAAACACAAGAGCTGTGTGTGTTTGCACAGGCCTGAGGAGAAACAAGTAACAAAAAAAGAAAGCTGCCTTGTGCCACCAAGGGCCCACTTGAGGAGCAGGGTCACGGCGCGATTTGCTGCTTGTTTAACGCGATGTGGTGACTTTCCTGGATAAAAAGCATCACCTGGGGGGAGAGGAGGAAAAAGCCAAAACGAAAAGAGCAGTACTCTCATGGAGATGCCGGGGATTGAACCCGGGACCTCATACATGCAAAGCATGCGCTCTACCGCTGAGCTACATCCCCCTGCCCGGCCTGCCGCCTTTTCCCGCCGCCCAATTCCAGCCTGTCCCGCTCCGCAATCCCCGGTGCGGGGAAGGGCGGGCAGAGCGATGCGGGCACCGGGTCCCCGCCGGGCCCGGGCCGGGCCGAGAGCGCTGGCGGTGTACAGTGAAGACCCTCTGTGGTCTTCACGCAACGCTTAGAAACGCGGGAACGCGCCGGTTCAAACACACAAAACTGATTTATTTCTTTCTTCGTCCTCCCGGAAATTAGAAAAATCCGTGCGGGAAGGAAAAAAACGAATGTTGAAGGAAAAAAGCACATACAACCTCCCCGTCGGGGAATCGAACCCCGGTCTCCCGCGTGACAGGCGGGGATACTCACCACTATACTAACGAGGACGGTTTGGTGTTTGATTCCTGCGGGCCAGGTCATGCCCGAGAGGCCGACGCGGGACCTGCTCCACTGCTGAGGTCCTCCGGGAAGTGGCTCCTGCCACAAAATCTTCACCCACCTCGGCGCCTGCGGTGACACCGGGAGAGCCGCCCCTCGCCAGACGCAGGGACCGCAGCCCCGACCCCGCTCCGCCCGGCGGCAAAAGCAGGGGCCGTCACCCGCACGGGGAGCGAAAAAGCTTCTGCCGAAACCCGGGATCGAACCAGGGACCTTTAGATCTTCAGTCTAACGCTCTCCCAACTGAGCTATTTCGGCGGGCGAGAGCGCCCTCGCTGGCCGCGGATACGACCCCGCCCAGTTCCACCCCCACCCCCGGCGCGGGTCCCGTCCCCGCGGCACCAGCGCCCCGTTCCTGCCGTGTCCGGGGGGTCACACCCGCCCGGTACTGCTGTCCGCTCCACGGCCCTCAGGCACCCCTCCTGGCATAAAAGACGGCTGTCCCGCTTCCGCCCCGCCCCTCTGGCGGGGGGTGACCCGGCCCCGCGGTTCCATGGCCGCCTCACAGACAAAACCCCGCGCGGGGCCGCCCGCAAAAAACGGCGGCCGGGAACAAAATATATCGGCACCTCCCCGTCGGGGAATCGAACCCCGGTCTCCCGCGTGACAGGCGGGGATACTCACCACTATACTAACGAGGACGGACACATATGTACCGTTTTTCGCCTTGCGCTATAACCGTGCGGTCCCGCCCCAGAAGGAGCCGCCGCCGCTCCCGGGGGTGCTGCGGCTCCCGGGGCCCCACGCGGGGCTGTGCGGGGCAAGGGGGGCGGGACGGGCGCGGGAGGAGTGCGGGACGGGAGCAGTGTGACCGGCGGACCCGGCGGGCGGGCGGCAGTGTCTATTTACTGCCTATACAACAACCCAAAATCAGCGAGGGGATGTAGCTCAGTGGTAGAGCGCATGCTTTGCATGTATGAGGCCCCGGGTTCAATCCCCGGCATCTCCACTTTTTCCTTTTGCCCCCTCCTCAACATCCCCCCAAGCCCGTGGATTTTTGCTTTCTCTAGCCCCCTTTTCTAAATTAGGAGCCACGATTTCCAAGTAAGTTCCATAATCGCGGTTTTTTTTTACCTTCCCTCCCCTAAGCACCGAGCAGTTTGCAGACTTCTGCTGCAATTCTTGTTAGAGAAAGGTGCCCTGCCAAGAACCCCCCACACCCTCCTGCCAGGGGTTATCACAAAACACTGCACAGCTGCAGTGTTTGACTTACAAACAGTGTAAGGGGATGGACTCCTTCTTGCTCGAGAACAAAAGTTGCTGTTTCATCAGCTTTAGATATTTTTAATGCTTACCTGTGTCCCAGTCTCACCTCTGAAGTGCGTGGGAGAGGTGGGAACAATAGACACGCATCCAACCTCTTCTGCAGTTGGCCAGCACCAGTTTCCTGCAGGATGTGGGCAGCCGGAGGGTCCTTGCCCACACCTTCTACCACAATGTCATAAGCAATCAGATTTTCCTCTGCCACTAGCAAGACTTCTTGCTGCAAAATTAGCAAGTGGCTGAAATCTGCCCTCCTTCCCAAAACCTGCTGCATTCCCCAAAGTG